GTCCTTGCTTGTCATCATGGCACTTTTAGGGACAGTCTAATATTACTTTTAACGGAGGCTGAAACCAATCTGGCCAAGAAAAAGAGGAAGCTACAGGGTTGAGTGAATTGTAAATTTGAGTTCAGAGCATGTTTATAGTCCCACGACTGTAAAAATAAGCCAAAAGTATTTTTTTATTACATATTGTTACCAAATACTTTAAAAAAAATCTGTTGTTACAAGGGCTATTTATTTATTTTATGCTATTTATTTTATTTTATAATTCTCAAGAATCATTAGAACCCCATTTATAATTCAGATAAAAGAAAGGTCAATTTTAAAACAGTTTTTTAAAAATTGTTGTCAAGTATATTGTTGGTACTAACTCCAGTAAATTTATCTTAATGACTTAATCTCAAAGAACTTCTGCTGATTTGGGTTCTCTTGGTGTTTTCATACTTGGGTGATTTGTTTGTTTTTTTTCAAATTGCCTACAGTGTTGTTCAGACCAAGCTAACAAGAAATCAGATTTGTCTATATGTTGGCTACTGTATAGAGGCTTTCTTGTAAGCCAGTTTTTGAAAACAGTCTGACATCAGAGTTAGTGGGTGGCATAATCTAACACAGAATGTGTACTGAATTCACACACTATCCGTGTGATGTGGTTTGAGGTAGTGTGGCAGCTGCTTTTTGGCACTTTTCAGAAAAGTTTTGTAGTACCTATTAGTTTTCTGGCTATTTTCTTCTTAAACAAACAAACAAAAAAATCCCTATATGCAGCTTCTGATGTTTAGGGCTAATTATTTCAAAGTGTGGTAAGAACCCAGACAGCTGTTAGTGAAGGTTACACTAATGAATAGAAGATTAAACACTTTGCTTAAACAGACACCTCAGGGAGTGTAATCATGCCAATATGTCCAGCATGTCCTGGAAGATGGAACAGTAGCTTGGACTGCGATTAGTGACATTGCTATGCCATAAAAATGCATGAGGCATTTGTGGGGAATAAAGATTTTGTTTCTGACTACAAAATTACCCTAAGAAAGAGAAAAAATTAATTACTAATTTCTTTGGACAATGTAGTCTGTTCTGGAAACTTCTGGTATTTTGAGCTCTCATTGTAAGCATTGTCCCTGTAAGATACTGAAGAACAGGTTAGTGTGTTAAAAAAAAGCCAGCAGCAGCAAAAGTCTTAAGTATGTGCTAAAAATTCATGAGAGAAACCTTTGCTATTTTCTAGTCTGTTTCTCCTTTTGTTGCCAAAGACAACCAGGCAAAGTTCACATTACTAAACATAAAAATAGAAAAAATTATTACATACTTAGCTTAGCAGAAGTAAATATTGCTGCATTAATTGAAATGCTGAAGATCAACAATGGAAATCTGACAACTGAAACTGTAACTCTAAAGTAATTAAATTAGTTAAAAGATTTCTCTAGTACTAAGGCAGATAACAAGTATGTAGCCATACCATAAAATTTTTCTACCTTTCTGAGTAGTCTTTTGCCAACTCATTAAAACAGAGAAGAGACAGTCATAAATATTTGACTGAAACACTTAAGTTCTCAAATTAAAACAATTTCAGTGTAGAAAAATCAATGTTGCTTTATAGAATTCACTTTAACCTGTCTTTTCATTACGTATCTTATACCATTATGTTCATTAATGCTTAACCTTTCGCTTGTCACAAACAAATTTAAGTCTTTTTGCCAAGAGGAAGAGGCCTAGGGCAAGTTGGAGAACACTTGCTGCTTGTTCAGTGATACAAATTTGAGGGCAGCAACGTTTGGAAACAAATCAACCAGTGGTAATGCCCCTCTCCTCAGGTGTTTCCCTGATTGACTGAGGACTGCTTATGAGAAAAAGAAGTTGCCGAACCTCTCATATTACTAAGTAGCTCAAATTAAAAATAAAAAAGTGGGGGTTTTTCTCTGCTTGAAAAAGATATATAAATATTGTTTATGGATTCCTAAACTTCAAGATTTACTGATAACATATGTGCTTGTGCATGGTGTGCTGAGGAACAGTAACATTATTTTCTTTTTTTTGGAATTATGAAAACATCCCTGGGTAACAGGTTGCAGGTTGTAGATTTGGGCAGAGCTCTTGCAGATTGAGCAATGGTAGTTTTATGAGTTACAGCCTTCTTGCTGGGTGCTGATCTGTACATAAGCTTTGTGGTTTACATAGTGTGTTGTATTTACATGGCAAGGTTGGGAGGCAGGGATGACTGCAGGGGTGGCCTCTCTGAGAAGACACATGGGGCTGCTCTCCCCCCTCATGCTGGACACAGCTGGCTCCAGCTAGCTCTAAAATGGACCTGCCGCTGCCCAAAGCTGAGCCACCCAGTGTAGCAGATGGTGCCTGTGTGTTAAGGTATTTAAGAAAGGGTCAAAAATGTTGTGCAGCAGCTGTGAGAGAGGAAACTGAGAGGAACAACCCTGCAGATACCAAGGTCAATGAAGAAGGAGAGGGGGAGGTGTTCCATGTACTGAAGCAGATATTCCTCTGCATCCCATGGAGAAGACCACAGTGAAGAAAGTAATTTTCTGTGGCACACAGGGGAACATGCTGGAGCAGATACCCACACAGTGGTTTGTCCAGGACCCTATGCCAGAGCACGTAGATATGCCCTGAAGGAAGCTGCAGCCCAAGCAGTAGCAAGCTGCTGGCAGGAATTTTGATCTGTGGATGACCTGTGCTGGAACAGTTTTTGCTGAAGTACTGTACCCTGCAGAGGGGACTCTTGTTGGAGCAGGGGAAGAATGTGAAGAGAAAGGAGCAGCAGAGATGAATTGTTATGAGCTGACCATAACCCCCTTTTTCCATCCCCTCTACACCACCTGGGAGAAAGGAGATAGAACAGCTGGGAATGAAGGAGGTTTTAGTTTTGTCTTTGTTTCTTACCGTCCTACTCTGTTTTTAGTTTGTAATACATGAAATTCATCATCCTCAATCCTGTATTCTCAGTAAGTGGTAAATGATCAGACTCTCCTTAAGCCTTCTGCTTTTCCATCTTTTCTTCCTGCTCTCATGTTGAGGAGGGGGAGGGAGAGAGTGACTGGGTGTGTGTCTGGCAGCCAGCCAAGAGCTACCCACCAGCCATTGTGAGAAAATTAGGTATCTTTTTAATCTGGTAGTTTAGTGACTTGGTTGCAATCCTTTCATACACCACCTGGGAGAAAGGAGATAGAACAGCTGGGAATGAAGGAGGTTTTAGTTTTGTCTTTGTTTCTTACCGTCCTACTCTGTTTTTAGTTTGTAATACATGAAATTCATCATCCTCAATCCTGTATTCTCAGTAAGTGGTAAATGATCAGACTCTCCTTAAGCCTTCTGCTTTTCCATCTTTTCTTCCCGCTCTCATGTTGAGGAGGGGGAGGGAGAGAGTGACTGGGTGTGTGTCTGGCAGCCAGCCAAGAGGTACCCACCAGCCATTGTGAGAAAATTAGGTATCAGATTCATAAAATGGTTTAGTGACTTGGTTGCAATCCTTTCAGCAGGAAAAAAAGTTATTATTCTTAGTCTTGTACTGTTACCAGTGTTGTAGTGATCAGCACTGAAGAAAAATGTGAAAATAATGTGTGAGACAGAAGTGGGCTGGATATTTTTAATTAAGTTTCTCAGAAATTTTGTGAGCCTGTAAAGAGTGGTTTTGGTGTCTTAGTATCTGTGTGGCAATGCTGTAATGAGCTTTCCTTCTGCATTTTTGTAACAATTGCTCTATGCTAGATCTGCTGTAGTTTGAATGATTTGGTTTATTGAAAAAAGTTGACATAAGCTTTGAAATATACTTCAGTGTGAAGAAGTCTGGATGCTTAGCTTAGCCTGAGAATTGTTGAAGGAAACCAGGTGTTTTCTGTTTTCTGTACCTTATATCTCTTCCTGAGTATATGTTATTATTTCAGTTAAGAAATGCAGAATCTATTTGTATTTCAAAGGATGAAATAGAAAAGTAATTTTTTGTAGTTTTGTGGTCAATAATTAGCAAGTGGGAATTAACTGTGGCTTTTATCTCGATGCTGTTTATTTATTTTCTCAGTTCATGTGCATGCAATTTAAATAAAATAAAATTGTGTTTTGAATTCAGGCTGGTTGCTATATTTCCCCTTCTTGTAAATTGCCTGCTTGTCGGAGAGAATTTAATTCAAGTAACTTGGATTCTGGTCCTCAATTTTTTTTCAAAGTTCCAAATCTTCCAAAGCTGCTGATGGTGTCTGTGAAGAAAACTGCTTGTCTGTGAAGAAAATAGTGGCAGAGTTCCTGAAAGGGGAGAGCTCTGACATGTTATCTTCATGAGTTACAGCAGCACATGCCAGAAAATGCAGTACAAGTGAATGAAAAAACACACAGAATGATATCTTGATCCTCAGGCTAAATTAACCTACTCCAAATTACCTGTATTAAATCTGCCTTGAACCTGTATGCTAGATAACTAATCTAAAAATTTCCCACTTGAAAATTATTACTTAAGAATAATCTTAAATCTTATATATATTTTTTTAATATTGGAAATTTCCAATCTGTTGTAATACGTTGAGAAGTCCTTCCTGTCTTTGTATTTCACTTTTTATGTGGATATTTCTTACATGCAACTTGAACTTAATTGATTTTGTTTGTTTTCTTTCTGTCTCATAATCGAAGTAGAATTCTCTGCTTCTAGAATACTTATTACAACACTTTCCTCTGATTTTAAACAACTTAGTTTTCAAGATTTGCAAAAAAAAAAAGTGAAATAGTGACATTGTGTAGAAACAGTATTTCATTTGTAGTGTTATGCCTGCTTTCTGGGTCTTCTATTAGAAGTGTATTAAAAAAAAACCCCAACACAACAAAAGAATAAGCAACCAGGGAATGTGCATCTTGCGTATTTTATAGATAGGTTTGACCTCTCTTAAAGTGATGGACACACAGTGTTTGATAGTTAAGAGCTGTGAATTAACTGTGGCCTATTAATTTTTTGTGGTTTTACAATGTCAAATATACTAGATTTCTAAAGTTGTACTTTTTGTTTTAATTTACAGGTGTTATAACTTCAAGAAATGCTGTGATCTATTTGAAGAGCATCATTCACATAAACTTATGTCTTGTGATACCTTTTTCTAAACTAGAATGGCTTTGAAAAAAACACCTAAACTACTCAAGAAGTTATTTTTTCACTGGAAACTTTGGAAATTTAGCATTATTGTGTTTGTCTTTCTGGTATTTTTATTTTTACTCCAAAGAGAAGTGGGTGTTCAAGATTTTAAAGATGAAGCAAGGATTGAGCCAGTTGCTAGAAAGAAAAGTCATGTATTAGGTCTCATGTTAAATGCTATGAACAATATCAAGGACGTAAAGCCAAAAATGCAGATAAAAGCACCTGTTAGGCAAACTAAGATTCCTGGAGAGAGATACTGTTTGCCAGGACACTATACTCCAGTGGAACTGAAACCCTTTCTAGTTCGTCCTCTTCAAGATCCTAATGCTCCTGGAGCTTCTGGTAAAGCATTTAAAACCATCAACTTAAATTCAGAAGAACAGAAAGAAAAACAGCGTGGAGAAGAAAAACATTGTTTTAATGCATTTGCAAGTGATAGGATTTCTTTACATAGAGATCTTGGATCAGACACTCGGCCTCCTGAGTATGTTGAAATGTGTATGTCCTGATAGTTGAGAAACTTGTCAAAAATGCAGACTGCAAGGTGATTTAAGTTCAGCCTTAGATGATACTCTAGGAAAGTCTCCTAGCTATACATAATGATTGACTGTGCATAATGATCCACAGTTCCAAAGCCAAGAATGTTTAGAAAGGTTCAATTCTTTAATGATTTTGAACTCAAAGTAACTATATTTAAATAAGGTTTTCTGCTTTTGCCTTTTAAGCGACAATTTCTGAGTGACTTTCTGGAAGCCTGGTAAGGTTTACTTAGAAGAGAACTAGAAGTGTGTGTTAAACTTTTGCTCAAATAAAGCACCATCCCCTCACTTTTTTTTCTCCTTCAGTATTCAGTGGTAATAAAACCACCAGCATAATTTACTAAATTTGGAATAGTAAACTCTTGAACAGTGGAACATCTCATCAATCAGGTAGTATTAATACATTTTAACAATGAGGAGTGTAGGACTTGTGTAGACTTGGTTTAGGTTATGAGCCATCTCTGTCAGTGTCAGATTGTACGTTCTCAGCTATGTGTGTCAAAGTGACTAACCTTACTGAGCTGCTGCTGGCAGTAGGAATATCACATTATACATTGTGTATCTCACAATAACTCTTGCTGGAGGGTGAGCTTTTGCCCTTGTATTTTGTGAGGCAATGGCTATGATAATTACATTGGGAGTCTTCCAGTCTCTAAATTTGGCAGGCAATAAACAGTAAGTGTGCAGCTTATGAATACAGAAACATTGTCTAGTAATTCTTGACTTGCATTGGATTAAAAGTTCTGTTCAGAATACATCCATCTTGATACATCATCAGTATTTTGTGTAGCTTCACCAGTTGGAGCACCTGCCTTTGCATTCCAAAGCTCAGATATAAAGTGGAGAAGTGGAAATACTTAGTGTCTATACTTATAAACCTGTGTACTAGAAAGAACTGGGTTTCTTTTAAGAGTTTGAGTCAAAACTATTTATCCATTGTCTAATATTTGACACTTTCTAATCTACAGATGTATTGAACAAAAGTTTAAGCGTTGCCCACCATTGCCAACCACAAGTATTATAATAGTTTTTCATAATGAAGCATGGTCCACTCTGCTCAGAACTGTTCACAGCGCTATGTACACATCTCCTGCTGTGCTGCTAAAGGAGATTATTTTGGTGGATGATGCCAGTTCAGATGGTAAGAAGTCTTTCTATGTTCTCTTGATTTATTTTTTTTTTTAAATTCATTTATTATTTATGACACACTAGAACTGCAGGTTAAAAGTGGATATCTCTTTACCACCATTAACATGTATAATAGTATTCTAAGTGGTTTTGTTCCTTTTTCTATGAAACATAAAATAGTTGTCCCATATTTTTTTTATAATGTAGTCAAATTCTTACCATCTGAAAGGTTTTTAAACCTCATTTCTGACTGTTGATTTCTGGTGCTGCTTAAGCTACATGAGTGGTTGCATGACAAATAGCTCTGTAATTTGTGCTTAAAACCAATTACACTTGATAGAACAAAGTATCCAAGCATAATCAGCCAATGCTTGCAGTAATTTACATTTTATCATAGTGATTGTGTTTATGCAAATTAATTTTATTAATATCAAGGGAAATGTCTTTCCAAGAAAGTAAGATTATTTAATGGAAGAATAATCTTTATACGCAAGCTGATTGCCAAATAATTGAATATATACTGAGTGTGATCACAAATGCAACTTCAAAGAAATTTCATATGCTTAGTTTTAGATGAACATGTCTATACATACTTGCTTATACTATTGTATTTACACTTTTGGAAAGACTTTTAGTATACTGACACACTTGGGTGTGAAGCACATTCAGCAGTACATTTTGATAATGGGCAGAGGAAGGAAAGTAGTGTGAGATGTTTGACAAGGGATGTGGGGTTGTTTCTTAAATTTTGCACATTTAACTAATTTTTTATATAGCTTCTGTTACTGTTGCAAATGTTGCAGCCTTTGAATGTGCTGTTATTAAGGAAAAACATTTCATGTTCTTGAATAGGTAGGTATGTGATGCGTTTGCTCTGAAATGGATTTTGGATTGGTATTCAAACTACTAATACTGCAGAAGAGATGTACTAGCATATATCCTTTCTCTTTCAGAATCTTTTTAGTGTTCCATCCCCTGTTTTTTGCCAATCACCTCTTTCAACACCCCCAACCCCCAAAAAATTCTCTCTAAATTCTCCCTAAAAATAATGCTAAACAGTCAGGAACTGTTTATGGATTTGATGTTAAGGTAATTCCTGGGATTAGTATTAATTGTTTATCCTGTTAGTTTAGTAATGTAAAATTTTAGGCAGTGGAATTCTGAATATCCTGAAATTTATTTCTCTTTTCTAGAATACTTGCATGATAAACTAGATGAGTATGTGAAACAATTTCAAATAGTTAAAGTAGTCCGTCAAAAGGAGAGAAAAGGTCTGATCACTGCAAGGCTGTTGGGAGCTTCAGTAGCAACAGGAGAGACCCTTACCTTTCTGGATGCTCATTGTAAGTGTAACCTGTAATCATGCCAGGTCTGGTTGAACGTTGTTGTCTTTGATTTAATGTTGCCTCGTTTTTATGAATTACAAACTTTAGCAGTGTATCATCTTTCCTATTGCTATATTATATTATTGAAATTATAATTTGCAATGCTATTTGCAAGCAGTACATATTGGCTTGCTGTGGCCATATTAAAATATTCCCTGTGTACTGCTTTATAGCCAAGAAAAAATTCAGTGTTTATTCCCATTTTCTCCATAGGTGAATGCTTTTATGGCTGGTTAGAGCCATTATTGGCAAGAATAGCTGAGAACCCTGTTGCTGTTGTAAGTCCTGATATTGCTTCTATAGATCTCAATACTTTTGAATTCAGTAAACCATCTCCTTATGGGCATAGCCACAACAGAGGAAATTTTGATTGGAGTTTGCAATTTGGGTGGGAGTCCCTCCCTAAACATGAAAATAAAAGAAGAAAAGATGAAACCTATCCAATTAGGTAAGCATAATTTGAGTAATATTTTAAATGTTCCAGTTCTCTGGTTTGGGTTTTTTGGTTTGGTTGTTGTTGGTGTTTTTGTTGTGCTGTTTTTTTTTACAAACAGCAGTTTGTAAATGAACTAGTTCTTCAGACGAGTTATGATCAGAAGTTTAAGCATCTTGGGATGGTTCTTATAATACTTTCTTTAGGAACCACATTGTAACTTAAGTCTTTCATAAAGATACAGCCTTCTTAAGACAGTAATTGCTCTGCATTACCTTTTTTCTACATATACTAGGAACATAATAAGCAATTTCTATATAACTCTTTTCATCAGGAGGGAGGGGGAGCAAGAGGATTATAAACAGTGCTTGTCAGACAACAGTCCCACAGATTTAGGTCCCCATTCATCATCCTTGAAAGGATGACAACAAAGATTCAGAGCACCAAAATACTAAACTGTTGCAGTGGTGCCTTTGAGGATGATTGTACATGCTTTGGCCTTAGACAGGTTACTGGTCTGGAGGACTAATAGCTTTCTTATTTTTTCTGATTCTGTGTTTTATACTGTCAGTCATTAGTTTAAATTCAAATTATAGTGTAATCTGTGCCAGGAAAATGTATCAATGTAGAGAAACACTGACAAATGCAGGGAAGCTTCTAGAACAGTTATGCCATGTTTTTACATCTAGATTAACCAAAAAAAAACCCCAAAAATCTATTATAATACCTTCTTTAGTAAATTTCTCTTTTTGCAGAACACCTACTTTTGCTGGAGGTCTCTTTTCAATATCAAAAGACTACTTTGAACACATTGGGAGCTACGATGAAGAAATGGAAATATGGGGAGGTGAAAATATAGAAATGTCTTTCAGAGTAAGTTTAGCTGCTTAACTAGCAGTGATCTCTACACTGTGTAGAGAATTTTTGAGGTCAAGTTAGTATTAGAACTTGACTTCTCTGCTGAATCAGCCAATTAGGACATGGAAAAAGAATTACTAATGACTTATCACATAAACTACAAACATGTTCGCTGAACTGATTTTTTGTCTTTTTTCCAAATGTTTTTAGTGTTGATAGCTGAAATGTTCGTTTCCACAGTTTATCAGATTAGGAAGTTGTCTTTTGGTATGCCTGATAAATGCACTCTTGCTCGTGGTTTGGGGCTGTTTCTGGTGAACAATAATGTTACTGAATTGTTTTCCACCCTCTTAATGCTAATTGCAGTGCACTTACACAAAAAATGTTATTATTAGGTATGGCAATGTGGTGGACAGTTGGAGATCATGCCTTGCTCTGTTGTTGGCCATGTCTTTCGCAGCAAGAGTCCACATACTTTCCCAAAAGGTACTCAAGTGATCACACGTAATCAAGTCCGCCTTGCAGAAGTCTGGATGGATGAATATAAAGAAATATTTTACCGAAGAAACACAGAAGCAGCAAAAATAGTGAAACAAGTAGGTAGAGATGGTGGTGGTTTAAGAAATCACACTTGCTGCATTGAAAAATTTGGTGAGCAAAAGTTTTTTACTGGCAATGTAAGGATGCTACATCTTTTACTTAAAAGACAAGAGTTAATTTTGCTTAATGCTATAGCTGGAAAAACTTAAGTGTTTGGGTAGTGGCAGTGTTTTGGGTGGTGGGTTTTTTGATTGATAGGTTTTTTTCATACATTCTCTAAAATCCTAACTTGTTTGAATTGAGCAGCTTCTAGAACTACCAGAAGAGCATGTGAGAAGCTACTGAGCATAGAAAATGCAAACTAACTTGGAAATGAGAAATATATTGTCTCATTAGTCTCACTGTGCTTGGTATTTTTACTTAAAAAGCAGGTTTTGTTGTCTTTTAGCTGCAGTATAAAGCTTATTCAATGATAGATATCCACACTGTCTCTATCTGCTTAAAACCTTAGGTTAGATACAGGGGGATTGTGAGTTCGTTTATTTATGTTTTAAAAGTTTTCTGTAAGTTTGGTCTTTCACCAGCTGGAATCTATAGAGTTCTCTTTGAGAAACTTTTTTTTTTTTCTCCTTTTGATTTTTTTTGGTGAATATTGTGTCACAAATAGTGTTTGGTTTCTTAAGTATATTTAGCAGCTAGACAGTTTTGACTGGGAGATTCTGCATTGTACTGACAGTATGTTAATTAATCCAGTTCATTATTTCAGCTCACTCTTTTTTAGTGAGATCAATTAGCTTTTTTATAGCTGTCATCACTGTACTTTCTCCATGGCACTGTGTTAAAACCCTCTTGGGGCTAAGGGTACTTCTGTTATTTCCGTGTTGCAGTGTATTTTTCTTGCATGTACTTTGAAAGGCTGCAGGCAGGATTTCAATGGTGTTACAATCCTGAAAACCAAACAGCAGTAACTGTAATAGTAAGATATTTAAAAAAAACCACCAAAATGAAGTTTAAAACGTAAGTGCTACAATGCAGGATATCATAGATTCATAAGTACAAAATTTGTGTTAGTAATATTAGCATATTTCTCTTCCATCCTTCCTTACTTTCTTTCCTCTAACAGAAAACATTTGGAGACATCTCAAAAAGACTTGATTTAAGGCAGCGTCTGCAGTGTAAAAATTTTACCTGGTATCTCACTAATGTTTATCCAGAAGCATATGTGCCAGACCTGAATCCTTTGTTTTCTGGATATGTAAGTTCACTTTTTTCTATAGTCTCCTGTAATCCAGGAAACCTTTTTTGCTGCCTTAGCCATAGCATTTACATTTCAGCTATCATTAATTGCTCTGGGGGCTTCTGTTGCTACTCTGAAGAAAGAATCTCTTCTGCGTAGCTTTGCTATTTGAATATTTTATAGTTTTGTCAATGGTGATATGAAATAGAAGCAAAGCTGCTTAATAACCCAACAGTAGACTCACTTAACAGGGTCGTGCAGCCTGCACATGGTGCACCATAGGCACCATTCTGCACATCCCTAGCAGTTAAAATGACACAGGAGTACTAAGCCAGTGGTGAGAGATTTCCTGAATTATCAAGGTAAATTTAGCTTTATATAGTAAGAAGTCTGAGAGTTCATGTTAATGAGGAAAGCTGGACAGTGGTTTGCTTCTCAGAATTAGATTTGTGATGAGGAAAATGTCTGTTTATAGTTGTAAGTATTTTTTTAAAAGATGGCTGCATTTTCTCTGCCAAATAACTTGCATTGCTAAAACCTAACAAAATATTAAACAACTAATAATTCTTAGCTTGAGGTGAATGTGAATGTTTAGAAATGTTTAGCACTTCCATTTCCTTCAAGTTTGAATGTTTTATGTGTATCTGTTCAAACTGTAATTTGAATAAAAGTAACCTCGTATACCAGTAGCCTAATAATTTATGGTATGTGGCTGTAGACAACTATAATGTAGTTAGTGAACTTTTGGGTTGGAAATATTAACTCAGAGACCAGGATTTTTGGATTTGAGCATAGCAGAAAGTAAAAAATAAACTAACAGCTGTAATTGTTGTTAGGACAAAGGTTAGTTTTGTATACTAGTGAGACAGTTGAATTTTTTATTGTCCCCATTCACCTCCTTTATTTTTTTATTTATTTTTTTTCTGGTAACACCTTTTCTTTAGTTAAAGAACATAGGTAACCATATGTGCCTGGATGTTGGTGAGAATAACCATGGTGGCAAACCATTGATTATGTATTCTTGTCATGGACTGGGAGGAAATCAGGTAAATGATTTGTTACCTAATATTTATGATCTGTTCTGCTGTAACTCTACCATATTAAACCTTTTCATTTAGAAAAATGAGCTCATTTTTAATGTGCAATTTATCTCTTTTTTTTAAGAGTTAGTTCCTATATAATTGTGCAAGGAAAACTTCCTGCTGCTCTTACTGTTGTGTCCCACTTCCAGCATTGTATGTTCAGCTTACTGATTCAGATTTTTAACACAATTGCACTGCTTCACTTGACTTCTCCTTTCTGTGCAAAACCTTTTCATCCTACCCTCACTGTTTTCTTGTAAGTGTTGTCTTCTTAATTTTTCCTTTCCTTATGCTTCCTCCTGTTGCTTCTTTCTCTGCCACCAGGACTTACACTGTCAAGGAAGATGTTGGTGGGAATCCGGCCAATGGGAGACCAAGTGGCCAGGCCCAAGCCACCTTCCCTATCATGCTTGCAGCCTCATAGTGCGAGGTCAAAGTGGTCTATCCTCTACTGACTAAAGCAAGTGAATAAAATGATTGGATTTGTCCAAGAAGAGCTCTCTTTGATGACTAGCTCTTGGAGGCAGCAATGGTGCTCTGTTTCTTTTACAGTATGATGTCAGATGCTGAATCCTTCAGGCAGTACTGTAATACTCATAAAAGTAACATCTCCTTCCCTGCACAGAAATGAACATGAACATTTCTCTGTTGCCTTAAAGAGTTTCTTAAGGAACAAAGTTTATTAACTGTAGATCCTTAATAACTAAAGGTCAACAAAGGTTTAAAAGTTTTTGTTGGAATCTATTTGTAATTTTTCTTAAAACAAACAAACAAACAAGCTTCAATCTTAAAAGCCATCCACTGATGGCACTGTAAAAACTCAGACACATGGTCCTAGTTTGTTGTTGCTTTCCCAACGAATTATTGTGGGACATGAAATACTGTCTAGATTAACAGTGACCCTGTTATTTTTGCTTCTTAAAGTACTGAACATTTTAAAAAACTTCTGTTGTGGATTAATACTATATTAGTCTTTTTGTGTTGTCACAGTCATTAATATAGGAACACTGTACCAAGACATTGTATTAAGAGGTCTGCTCCATGCTTCTGTTATCATCTCTCTCTCTAAGTTATCTTGAACTGTACTAAAAACTCCATGCTTTCAAGGGTTGCAGTTTTTGTTTTTCCTCCTACCATAAAATAACAGTCTAAATGCCTTTAAATGCCAGCCTTCAGATAATTTTAATACAGGTTGTACTGGTAATACTCAGGAGATGTGCATATTTCCTTATTTAACCCTTCAATTCTCTATTTTCATTTTTATTATATTCTTTGCCAGACTTCAGCAGTGTAGGCTGAAATTTTCCATGCAATGTGTCTTCTTCATCCACGTATTTGAGATAGGAGAAGAGAGTGGAAGAGAGAACTGTTTGTCAGTTTGGTACATCAGTTGCTTATAATTGTTCTATTTTAGAATATTCTGGGGCTCAGAACATGTCCATCTCAATACCCAAAATTAATGGAGTTTTAAACCTAACTTTCAAGTTGTATTTTCAGGGCTCACAGAGATTTTGGAGTTCAAAAAATAAATCCTAACAGATTATGTCAGATGAGCAGATTTAGAGTAAATTATGTCCAAGTGCTAAGTGACTAAGCAGGTCAAGGTTACTCCTGTCAGTGCCTGTTTCAGGGAGTAATGTTGGGTGCAGAGACTTAAGAGTGAGATGCCTGTTTGTTCCTCAGTGCTCTTCCCATTGGTGCTAAAGCAGGGAGGAGATGGAAACTGACTAATTGGATAGATAGTTGAAAGCCACAGGGAGCTAACAGCCTGGTCCTAATGGTGAAAGGAAAGATAAGGTGAAGAAGACTGTCATACAGATCCAAGAAACAGTGATAATGGGATGTAAGGATAGGAACTCTGAGGGAGAAAAAGAACAGATTGGGATGGTATGGTAGGATGAAAGGTATTAAAGGATATCTGTGTCTGTAGCTGTTAGAATTAAATGCTTGTTAAGACCTGAATTACAGCCTAGGAATCCCAAGCCTTAAGAATACTCTGCTGCCTGAGAATAATGGTAAAATTCACTCAAAGAACATATGCTTATATAACTTTCTAATGGCTAGCTCACAGGAGAACGTATTAGCATCCCATTGCTAGCTTTTGTTTACATCAAGCAGCAAAAGCTGATGCATGGCAATCAGTATTGTTGTGATATGTGGTGAATTTTGTGTTTTGGTTGCTCTGATACAAAACAAAATCCAACAACAAAAACTGAACTAATTTTTTTAAAGCTAAAAAATACCAAAAATTTGAGTTATCCAGTTTTTCTCAAATTATTTGTGATTTCCTGGGGGAGCAAACAGTGGGATCCTGCATCATAATGCATAGGCAAGAAGCGTCACTTGCAATTTATACATTTCAATACTTCTAAATATATTCCATTGTATTAGTTAAAAATGCTTATGGTTTTGTAAACATTTTTAGAGTTTGTATGCTGAAATCAGAAAAATGATTGTATAGTCTGAAATTGTTGATAACAAAAGAAATAATTTCTTTGTCTATTGGAATTTCAAAGTGTTAAATGCTATTTGTATTTACATACTGAAATTTTAAAACATTATTTAAATAGTACTTTGAATATTCTGCACACCATGAAATTCGACATAACATTCAGAAGGAGCTGTGCCTTCGTGCCTCTGAGGGACCCGTGCAGCTTGGCGAGTGTAACTACAAAGGCCAGAAAACCTTTGCTGCTGGAGAAGAGCAGTGGCTGCACCAAAAGGTATTTGATCTGCACAGTGAATTGGCGTCTTATCAGTGATCTTCTCCTCAAGTAAATTTTGTATTTCCCATAAAAGATAAAACTCCAACAAAACAAAATTCTGAAGCCAAAAGGGAGCAAGTTTATTTCTGGGGGGGAAATGTAGATAATTTCAGTTACCCAACCAAAATTTGAGGATTTCGCTATTTTAAATGTAAAGTAGAAATGTCACTTACAAAACCAGTTGCTACCCTTTAGTGTGTGTGTCTGGACATCTATCTGGAATTCAATCAAAATGTTTTGTATCCTTTAAAGTAGTTTTTAAACATTTCCTAACTAACCAAGTTGACGCTTGGATAATACTCATATTCATTCATCATTCATAGACCCCCTCTGCACTACCTGTATAACCTCACTTTTTTAACAACAATGAACTTGGGAAAAAACAAAGTGAGGAGGAAATACCATACTCATTGTTCACTTTCTTCTTTTTTTTTATTTTTCCCCCTCTTTTACCTGCTTTAGGATCAAACTCTGTACAATGCAGCACTGAATATGTGTCTTACAGGCGACGGAGAGCATCCAAGTTTGGCATCCTGTAATCCATCAGACCCCTTCCAGAAGTGGATTTTTGGCCAGAACAATTAAGATTTTATATTTAGAGGCCAAGAGCATTTTATTGAAAGAAAAGATCCATTCTAAACTGTGGCCATATATGTATACACCTTATTTAACTGATGCATACTTTAAATGCAAAATGTTTAAACACTTTATTTTCCATCTTAGCTAAACTGGATATAAAATGTGTCATCATAGACTCCCTAGGAGTCTGTTATACCAAAGATGATTGAGGTCCCAATTAAGAAAAATGTTTACAATATTTCTGTTATAAGACTTCAAATGTTGCCTATTGATTCATGGATCCTGTAGTTCTCTTTCACCTTGGGGACTGTATGTATATTGTTCTTCCACATATTGTATGTACTTCTTAAGAAGACTAGTTTTCTCTATAGAGCTATGAGCAATTGTTTTATATGTGTATTTTCATGCTCAATCAGTTAACTTCATTTTTTTTTTAATCATTTACTTAATTAACTTTTCTCAGTACTTTTTAAGTTCCCTCACTTGAAAAAGCCACATCCTCCACCACACCGTGCTGAGCTTTTAGCAAGTCAATTCTGTTGTAGAAGAAAAAAACAACTTACTGAAATATGTATATGTGATTATTTTAATGGAAAATTTGCTTATTCTAAAATTAATCTCCTTTTATTTAGCCAAAGCTTTTTGTATAGGTTTTTTTTATATTTCATGAGCTCTAACATTTATCACAAAGGGATATTGTTACAATTTCCAAGCTACTTAACACATTTTCCAGAATTTTGTTCATTATTCCTTTTAATTAGATGTTACCTACTAAATCCACTTTTTTCTGCCTTTTAGTCATTTATACAATGTTTATCTAACAGGTTTCTAATGTTATCTGTACAGAATTTCTTGTACAAACTCTTGAATATTGATTTTTTTTTTCTTCTTGCTGTTTTCTCTTTAACAAAGAACTGACCTCAGTTTTATCAGTCCAAGTGAGACCTTGGCCTTCCTAACTATTCTGCTACAGAATACAGTAGGGCAAGAAGACCAGACCTAGTCAGATGCAGCTAGTAATACTTAGCATTTTAGGAAACGCTTAGTATTGCCTTTAAGTACTGTACTCATAAGAGCAGGGAGAGGAAGGAAAAAGTCATGGCTGCCAAAAGGAAAGAAAATTAGAATTTTTAAGTGAAGGCAGAGAAAAATATCTGGCTGTATGATCAAATATAAAACTGAGGATAAGTTTGAAGAGGTGGAAATTAATGGTTGAATAGGAGAAAATAAGCTTATAATAATTTTTTTCCTTTTGTCCTGTTAAATAAATAATATCATTACAAAGAAATGGTAATTTATCTACAGAGTCTGTTGGGTGGGCGGATGGATGATGATGTGGGGTTTTTTATTTCTAATGGAGGGAGGGAGTCTATCTTTGTTTAATTTAACAGTATCTGACCAGTGAGTTCAGCTTCTGAAGAAAAGCAAGAAGAAATCCTTTCAGTGGTTCTGAGTTACCTGGAAGACAGCAAGTGAACAAGCAAGACCAGCGAGAACTTGTCAGAAGCAGTAAGATATTTCTTTTTCTGGCTTTATAATAATACCTTTCAGTTGTGTCTTGGCTTCCATAAGGCTTTTGGTGACACCTGTGAAAATATCCTGTGAAGTTAAACCTGAATGACTTGAATTAACTTGCTGCGGTGTGGATATATATTGTAGAAAAGACTTCCCCGGAAAGGGTTAATACTGCCCCTGTGAAACTGGAAGGCTGTATCAAATGGCAGTGCACAAAGATCTGCTTTGGTAGATAAACATTCCCATAAATCAGTAATGGAATACATAGTATTGCTTGATTTTGCAGGTCAAACCAGTATCAGGAGGGCTACAAAAGCTTTTGACAAACTGAAGGAGTTGAGGAGAAAACAGGATGCAGGTCAATGAGAAGATTCTTCAAGAAAACAGCAGTAGAGGATGGGAGATAACCTGGATATCAGCTATACTATGTTGACCCTCAAGAATGAGATGGAAACTCAGGTGTTCAAGGAACCTGTTCCAGAAGACAAGGTATTTAGCATGACTGTTTTAAAAGGATTTGAGTTCTCTTACATCCTAGTTCATATTATACAGCAAATGCATAGAATCATAGAATGCCATGTTGGAAGGGACCTCAAGGATCATCTGGTCCAAACTTTCTATATATTACTGTAGTTTATACGAGATGGCTCAGCACCCTCTCAAGCTGACACTTAAAATTGTCCAGTGTGGGGGAATCTACCACTTGCCTTGGGAGACTATTCCAATGTTTGTTTGATTGTCCTCATGGTGAAAAACTTACCTCTTGTATAGAACCAGATTCTTACTGGGAGCAGCTTGTGCCCATTACTCTTTGTCGTGACTCCTTGTAGAGTCTCCATCTTCTTGGTAGCCACCCTTTAAGTAGTGGAACTTCTCAAGGCTGAACAAACCTAGTTTTCTCAGCCTTTCCTCATGTGGCAGGTTCCCCAGTCCTCTGATCATCTTTGTGGCCTTTCTCTGGACCCTCTCCAGCCTGTCTGCATCTTTCTTGTATAGCAGGGACCAAAACTGAAGGCAGTGCTCCAGGTGTGGTCTGACAAGCTCCGAGTAGAGTGGGACAATGACTTCTTTGTGTCTGCTGGTGATGCCCTTGTTGATGTAGCCCTGCGTCCTGTTGGCTTTCATTGCTGTTGCAGCACACCATTCACTCATGTTGAGCAATCTTAATCATCCATCTATTTTGGGGCAAAAGGAAACCTCTGTTAAAATCAGGATGGTTTTCATGCTGGCTTATATTAGTTTAAATGCAAAGATAACTTTATTTTTGGATTATCAACGTCTCTTTTCTCCCTAACTGTTTAGGAATTCAGCCAGAACACTGGTTCCACTAGATCTATGCAGTGGCATAAGTTAGAGGGTTAAGTGCATTTTATGTTTTTTTAAATATGGAAGGTAAGACAGCCAGACAGGGTGTGTGGGACTCAACAGCCATAAGTTAATACATATACCACACTCTGAGGCGTTTTTTGGCTTGTTAAAATTTACTTTATCATGACATTGCTTTTCTGAATGTCTTTCATAAATTTTTTGTTGGAAATGCCCATTTTTATTTTTGAAACAATTTATTTTCTTAACTGGAGTAAATCAGGTATCTGTTCTGCTTCTGGTTCCCCAGGATTCCTTGATCTAATTTTTGCATTTGTAGGGGGTCTAGGTCCTTTAAGACCACCCACTGCAGTGGTGAAAGGTACCAAGGCCTCTCTCTGTAGTTTGCATAGTTAATGGGATTGCTCTGCAGGTCTTAAAAATCTCAGCTGTCTAACAAATGTATATGGTGAATTCACAAGAAACACTGATTCATTCTACTAGTGTTTCACTAAATGTTCTCTGAAGCCAGTACAGTCCTGTGAAAATACTTTTCCTTTTCTTTCTCTCTCATTGTTCTTGACCAATTCCAGCTATTGTGTTGAGATAAGGCTACACATTTTCACAGGTTCTTAAAAAAATCATGATTATTGTATTATTTTCAAGCCAAAATAATGGCATACTTTATGTACTAAGTTATAATTTTGTACCTAATATTACTAGACTCTAAGGACAGCCAAAAGTAAATCCTTTCTTGCCCATAATGTCTTAAATATTATGAAGTTAGTAGGTGTTGAACTTCCAGGAGTGAGTATCTGATACTTGGATTCATGAAGGAGAAATACACATGGTAGTGTCTGGTATAAGAAGGGAACACCTGCAGTAGTATGAGGGATTGGGTGACTGAGTATAACAGCAAAGGCAACAGAATTTGTCCAGGGAAGAGGCTTAGGGGGAGGACAGAAGTTAAGTGGAAAAAAATGCAGGTCCTAAAACAGGAGCTTGGGGTTTTGTTCTCCCTGGTCCTCTAATTGTGACCTGTTTTGTTGCTCTTCTTCTCTTAGTTTTTTTTTTTTGGCTCAAAATAAGGTGAAAGGTAGAAGTCTAGCAGTCTAAACTGCAGTACAAAAGATGTGCAGCCCAATGTGTAGTAGTTCCCTATCAACCAAGAGAATGGTTGGCAATGTCTTGGCCATGCAATTGCAGAAGGAATTACTACTTAGGTGAATGTGTGGTTTGTGAAACTTAGCAGTCACATTTCCATCCAGCTTCAGACTGAGGCCTGAAACTACTGCAACTATCAGTTAAGTCCTGGGAAATGTGTTGATGAAGAAACATTTCAAACTAGTGAATTACTAAAGTAATAACAGTAACTTGCATGATGGCACATAAACAGTCTGTGCCCTGTGCAAGTGGCTGGTGAGGACAGTTGCAGAAAAATGGTAGATTACACCTATCAGGAGTTAACTTGTATATAAGGAAAATAATTTTCTGGTACATTCCAATTTCAAAAAAAAGGAGCCTTCTGTCCATCTGATGGAAGGAAAAAATTGATGGAGCCTGAAGGGACATGAACACAATGTTGGAAAACAGTGACAAAAGTAGAAAGCTGGATGGTAAAATTAAAGACTGAGTGGACTTAAAAAAGTGACTAAAAGAAATGCTGGGGAGAAAGAAGAGATGCGGGTGGAGATGCAAAGGAAGTAGGGTACAGGATCCTCTAGGACTGAGCATGGGACACCAATGCAAGTGAAGGGCAGTGTGAGTTGGAGGAAAAGATGGAAAAGGGAAGTAGTAAGGAATCTGGAATCTGTGGTGGGAAGATTGTTGTCAGAAATAACATTCACACAGGAAATGGACGTGGGTGCTTCAAGGATGAGCTCCAAGGTTAGAATCATAAAGTAATTCTAGTGAACTAGATTCTAGTCAGTGACCTAGTGATTCTTTTGGAGTGCCTCAGCACCTCGTGTCTGAGAAGTCTAGATGCTTTCTTTTCCATTTGGCTAAGCCTTCTATGCCTAAACATGCAGTGCTCTCAGGAAAAAGATAAGTAATTGACAATACTTTTGCTATCAGGGAAATCATCACACACCTGGTGACTGATAACTGGTCAGATGCCAGACTGCTTGCTACTGGGTCTTTTGCCAAAACAAATATATATATTTTTGTCACTTGTTGGTGTAATGGCTTTAAAAGGCCATTCAGTAAAATATCATTTTTTCTTTTAGGTTACCTTGCATATAAATAAAAATATTTGCTTTAGTATTAAATTAAATTATTTGCTTTGAAATGAAATTATTTATATGAGATAATAAGATTAGTAATTTGACAGGGGACAGCAGTTTACAGTGACACAGCACACTTAACTAAAATGTTGACCAGTGCTGCTCTAGGA